ATTTTACTGGCAAAAAAGTCCTCTTTTGTCCACACTCATTTAATAGGCAAACGTCACTCTTCTGTCAAAAGTCATTATACTAGGAACAAAGTCACTCTTTCTGTCAAAAGTATTATGCTAGGTAACTCTTTCCTCTTTTGTCAACGTCATTATACTAGGCAACCATTCACCTTTCTGTCAAAAGCATTATACTAGGCAAAAAGTCACTCTTTTTGTCAAAATCATTAGCGGTAGTAACACGTCCCCCTCTTTCTGTCAACAGTCATTATACTAGGCCACACAGTCACTCTTTCTGTCAAAAGTCATTATTCTAGGTAACTCAGTCACTCCTTCTGTCAACAGTCATTATACTAGGCAACACACTCTTTTCTGTCAACAGTCATTAACTAGGCAACAAAAGTCACTCTATCCAACAGTCATTATCTCAGTAACCAGTCCTCTTTCGAACAGTCTTATACAGGGAAAACGTCACTCTTTTGTCAACAGTCAATATACTAGGGAACACAGACACTCTTTTTTACAAAAATCATTATCAGGCAACCATCTTTTTGTCAACTTAATTATACTAGGAACACTTCATCTTTCCGCAACAGACATTATACTATGCAACACACCTTTTGTAAACTCATTTTAAAAGAACACCGTCCTCTTTCCCAACAGTCATTATACTAGGAACTCAGTACTCTTTTTGTCAACAGTATTATACGGTAACACAGTCACCCTTTTTGTCATAAAAAATTAACTAGGAAACAGTCAATCTTTTTGTCACAGTATTTTTAGGTAACACAGTCGCTCTTTCTGTCAAAATCTTTTTCTAGGCAAACGACCTCTTTCGTCAAAAGTCATTATACTAGGGAACTCAGTCATCTTTTTGCCCAAGTCTTTAAACTGGGAACACTTCTTTTTAACATCTTATACTAGGAACACGTCACTCTTTCTAAAAGTCATTTATAGGTAACCAGTCACCTTTTCTCAAAATCTTTACTATGCAACACACTCTTTCTGTCAACAGTCATTAAACTAGGCAAAACAGTCCTCTTTCTGTCAACAGTCTTTTAGTAGGGAACTCGTCCCCTCTTTTTGTAACAGTCTTATATAGGAACACAGTTCCTCTTTTGTCACAGTATTATAATAGGCAAAACGCACCTTTCTGTCAACGTCCCTTATACAGGTAACACAGTCACCTTTCTGTCAACAGTCTTTATACTAGGGAAAACACTCTTTTCCCTCAAAAATCATTATACTAGGCAACACAGTCACACTTCGTCAGCAGCACTTATAGTAAACAGTCTCTCTCTGTCAACAGATTATAGTAGGTAACTCAGTCACTTTTTCGTCAAAACTCATCAGTAGGCAACACAGTCACCTTCTTCAACAGTCATTATACTAGGGAACACAGTCACTCTTTCTGTCAAAAGTCTTTATTCTCGGCAACAGTCACTCTTTGTGTCAACAACATTTATAGGCAACACAGTCCTCTTTCTGTCAAAATCATTTACTAGGCAACACAAACACTCTTTCTGTCAACAGTCATTTTACAGGCAACAAAATCATTCTTTCTGTCAATAGTCATTATACTTGCAACAAAGTACTTTTTTCTGTCCCACACATTAACTGGCAACACAGTCACCTTTCTTCAAAACATTATACTAGGCAACAAAATCACTCTTTCTGTCAAAAGTCATTTGCTAGGTAACTCTTTTACTCTTTTGTCAACAGTCATTATACTAGGCAACACAGTCACTCTTTCGTCAACATCATTTTATAGGGAACAAAGTCACCTTTTTGCAACAGTATTATGCAGGTAACTCTCATCTTTCTGTCAACAGTCATTTTTACTGGGAACAAAATCACTCTTTCTGTCAACATCATTATGCATAAATCTGTCATTCTTTCTGTCAAATCTTATACATGCAAAAACCCGTCACTCTTTCTGTCAACACATTAACAACAGCAAAGTCACTCTTGCTGTCAACAGTACTTATGCTAGGTAACCGTCACTCTTTCTGGCAACAGATTATACTAGGCAACACAGTCCCCCTTTTTCTGTAAAATCATTATCTAGGCAACACGTCACTCTTTCTTTCAACATATTTACTATGCAAAAAAAAACAGTCCCTTTTTCCCTCAAAACATTATACTAGGAACACAGTCCCTTTCGTCAAAGTCATTATTAGGGAACTCTGTCATCTTTTTGCAACGTCATTTTCTAGCAACAAAGCACTCTTTTTGTCAAAATCATTACTAGGTAACCTGCACTTACGCAAAGTCATTATACAAGGAACACCCGTCACCTTTCTGTCAACAGTCATTATAATAGACAGCAAAGTCACTCTTGCTGTCAACAGTCATTTTAGGTAACTCTGCCTCTTTTGTCAAAATCATTTACTGGGAA